TTTAACTATAAAACTGATCTCTTATTATTACTGATCAAAAATTTTCACACATTTTGAATCGATTAAGCTTATCGAAATCGAAAAAAAAACCTTAAGCAATGGAACCGTCACATAACCTAACTCGCTAACAAGCTAGTACGAAATAGCGATCGGGTTACGACCGATGCTGTCAAAAGCATTTTGCGGCTTCAAAAACTAATATTTAAATTCGAAAATCGTACTATTTTATTAGGATTCAAATTATAATTGATGTGCTATTGAATAAAATAATTATTTATTGACCGTTTTCTTATTTTGCGATCAAAATGAAAAACTCCCGTAATAATGTACTATCCCGGAATAGTGTACGTTTACCTTATATTGTCGTAATTATAAACTAACATATAACGCAAGTTTAATATTGTTTGTTTTTTTATTAAGAATTATTTAAAATGTTGATCGATTCTCAAAATAAAACAATTGAAAAAAGTTATTCATGTACTCTTATTTGAAAACAGCATGACGCAACCACGTATGTTACATTTTTTCCGTGCGACAAACACGTATCTAAAAGAATTGAAGAAAAATAATGATTAATTGTTTGTAATATCATACTTGTCTCAAATAATTGTCACAAGATTGAATATTTTTAAAATTTATAAAAAAAATTGTTAACAGCAGTTCAAAAATTCGTTATAAAACGTTTTTTGTCTCTCCTGAAAAGTAGTAGTTTCTGAGATACGAGGTTGCGTCAGAAAAGCATCGAAACATAGTACAGGCCAAAAGTTTCCGGACACATGAAAAAATCTCATTTTCTGAGTTTTTAGCTATATTTTTCATATAAAAATAATTTTATTCAAGTTAGTTTTGTACATTCTACGTAGTATTAATATTTAGTGACTGATTTGTAACCAATTTGTAAGAAATGATGGACTAATTAGCAATGAAAATGGTAAAATGTCACAGTCGATTTCCTGAATATAGTATCATAGCATACTTCAGCGCCACGCCATTCCATCTGGTCTTAATTTAATTTGTCCAAAATTTATTTTTCAACAAGATAATGACCCTAAACACACTTCCTGACTTTGTGCCAATTATTTGAAGCGAAAACAAGACGAAAAAATACTTCAAATAATGCAGTGGCCTGCACAATCACCTAATTAAACGCCGCGTGAAGGATTTGCATCCAAGCAGCCTCCCTGCCCCGTGGAATTGCCTTAACGAGTCCTGGAAGAACATACCTGCGCAAACATTGCAGAAACTCGTCGAAAGATTACCAAAAATATGCGCTGCAGCGATCAAAGCAAGGGTGGTCATATTCAGGAAAATCGACTGCAGTGACATTTAACATTTTGATTGCTAATTAGTTTATCATTTCTCACAAATTGGTTACAAATCAGTCACTAATATTCATACTACGTAGAATGTACAAAACTAACTTGAATAAAATTATTTTTATATGAAAAATATAGCTAAAAACTCAGAAAATAAGATTTTTTTCATGTGTCCGGAAACTTTTGGCCTGTACTGTATATATATATATATTATTATATATATATATATATATATATATAAAGCTTATGATTATCAATCTGAAAAAATGTTCTAATTACAGAATTCCCTAGAACAACTCTCAAATTATTATATAATCTTTACAAAACACTTTCTTCAAAATGACTCATTCAAATAAAATAACAAACTCTACAATCTCTAGCCATTATTATAATTACCTCGAGTTATCGTCCTCCAGTGTCTCAGCAACTCTTTCAATCCGTACTGGACTGGAAGGCCTTTCCTGATGGTACTCACGGTTAAGAGGAACAATTCTAAATTAATATGTAATTTTTACAAAACACTTTCTTCAAAATGACTCAATTCAAATAATAAAACTCTACAATCTCTAACCATTATATTATAATTACCTCGAGTTATCGTCCTCCAGTTCTCAGCAACTCTTTCAATCCGTACTGGACTGGAAGGCCTTTCCTGATGGTACTCACGGTTAAGAGGAACAATTCTAAAATTAATATGTAATTTTTACAAAATACTTTGTTCAAAATGACTCAATTCAAATATTGCAAACTCTACAATCTTTAACCATTATTATAATTACCTTGAGTTATCGTCCTCCGGTGTCCTAGCAACCCTTTCACTCTGCACTGGACTGGAAGGCCTTTGCTGACGGTGCTCACGGTTACGACGCTTCGAATTTCTGTTATATTTTATAGCCATATCCACAAGCAGCATTACCACTCCCAAACCTACGGCAGCTACAGTGCCAAAAACAGCGAGTGGAGAACTCATATCAAAACTGAAAGAGATAATAAGAAAATTTAATAAATTATTAGAATAAATCATTACGACATACTACATAAAATAGGTAAGTATGGGTAAGTGTGTGTGCTGGTTGAAGTATGAATGCAAATCTAAATAAACATTTGTCATGTTAGGCTAGGCTGTTTTATAGAAGTATTACAATAGTTTCATAATTAAGATTCTCAGTTTTTCACATAAGCGCGTTCCAATACTTTTTGATTATAAAATTTCTAACACCAGCATTGATAGATGTAATAAAATTTCAGATTTAGGAGTTCTATTTGATTCTGGTTTGTTTTTCACGGATCATATAACTGATATTTGCAATAGAGCACACAAATCTTTAGGTTTGATACTGAGAAATTGTAAACAATTCAGTTCTACCAATGCACTTCTTTGCATGTACTATTCTATTGTACGTTCAAAATTAGAATATGGTTCGATTATTTGGTATCCTCATCAAACCAACAACTCTGATGCGATAAAGAAGGTTCAGCAAAAATTTCTGAAATATCTCTATTATAAAATATATAAAATTCACCCTGAGCGTGGCTTTGACCACAACACTTTACTAAAAGAATTTGGTATTCCTTCCTTTGCCTCACGTCGATTTATCTGTACAATTATGTTTTTATTTAAACTTTGCAATAATTCTATAGACTGTCCTCTTATTCTTATCAAATATCCTTTAATGTTCCAAGGCTTTCTACGCGTTCACAATTATTTTTTAATTATCCTACTCCTAAATCTGATTCTCTCTTAAATTCGCCTATTTACTTATGTCCTCTAACTTTAACTTAATTAATAATGAAATAGATATTCACAACACTTCACCTAATCAAATAATCTCCATCTGCACAAGTTAACCTTTTTATTTTCTTTTCAAATATCTCATTATTTTATCTTATTCTGTTTATAAATAATATTGTTACATTCTGCATTATATGTAATTTTATGTTAAGCATTTTATGTTAATAACTATATATTGTAATTTTGTATATATTTTAATTGTTATTCATTATGTAAAATAACTGTATTTTTGAGTCCTCTTGGAGTAATGTGTGGGCTTTATATTTAAATAAATAAATAAATAAATAATTGTGACAAATATATTATCAAAATTTTTATTGTGAGCAACTAATATTAAACATGATGGTAATTCGATAATCTCGGCAAGTACAAAAAAAATTTTGTGAAATATCACAATTTGCAAATATTTTAAAACTCAAAAATATATAAACAAGACAAAATGGCTGACGATTACTAACACACAAAATTCATGTAATATTTATTTATGTAATAGCTCAAAATATAGATTTATCATCTTGCATCATGAAACTAAAGACATATCATAACATAAACGTATTTTAATATTATTTTTATATATAAAATAACAACAAAAATAGTATAAACACAACCAACAAACACTTATATAATTTTATTTCTACAACTCACCGTTCGTCCTACTAACAGTTAAAACACAATTTCTTCACACAAAAAACTCGGCCACTGTCTAAAAACTATTCAATTTATCACTAAAGACTTCAAGAGTTTATTTTTAAGTAAAACAACGCTTTGTGTGTATTTAAACAAGTGTAAATAACATAAAAGCAATCGTGTAAAATACTCAACGGCAGCCATTGAACAATATTGAACCATATGTCATTTTTCATAGAGGAGTAGTGTTGCCACACTATTAATATCTTCGGGGAATCCCCTCGAGTATTGCCATAAACGAGGTAATTACGAGCGAAAATTTGAATTTGGAAAAAACTCAATATTTTACATTGAATTTGTTAATTTAAATTATTCACAAATTAGTTTTTGCCTAATTGTGATAAGTTTTGCAGTTTCTTTTATCATTTCTTTGAATTACTTTTAGACATAAACCTTTGTAGAAATATTATTATTATTTAATGGCTTAAAATAAATTTTTGGATACATCAAGTTACTGTAGAGTATTACAATGTTATAATTTTTTTATATACATCATTAATATAAATCAAATGGCTTTTAAGAGTTGTATATCATAAAATTGCACTTCATTATTCAATATCAATTCAAGTATATCAGGATATACCGAGTTGCTCTAAAAATTTTGGTGTTAATAAAAATTTTAAATTGAATAATTTTGTACAAACTTTCCAAATACATAATTCGTATAATTCGAAGGGTTTTGAAGGTATAACTGATATATAAAGTATTGCATTTAATTACATCATTGTTACATTTTAATATTCAACAATGATTTTAGAGTATACCAAGTTGCTTTAGAACTTTTTGTTATTAATAAAACTTCTAGATTATTTAATTTTGTACAAACTTCCAAATACATCTTTCATGCAAATCAAATAGTTTTAAAGTTATGGCCAATATAAAAAAAGGATTGCACAAAGTGTCTCATTAGGATTTAATTTTAATATTCAATTATAACTTAAAAGAATACCGACTTGATGCAGATTTTACTATTATTAAAGAATGATGTACATGACTCAAGTTTGGTTTAAGTTGTATTTGTTTTAATAAAATATTTAAAGATTTTCAGACAAGATACAAAATGTATGTACTTCAAAAGAGCTTAAAATAATATCGAGTTTTGATTGTAATTTCTAACAGTTCCTATAGAGTTTCTTTAAATAGTTTTAGGGTTTTTAAAATAATTGTAGCCCTTTTTGTACAAATTCAAACTTTATCAATAACGATGCCAAACAATTTTAAAGTACTTCTTTTATAGAAAATTAATCAGAAATATTTAATAAATAATATTTTAGTAAATATTTCATGTGTATAAACATTCTTAATTTAATCTATTTCATTTATCTGAATTTACAAAATTATTAATCATCTTTCACAAAGTAATTCATTAATACAAATAAAGGTATAAAAATCAAGTATATATATATATATATATATATATATATATATAAGAAAGTCAATTAACAACTTCTTACATTATAAATAAATTCATTTACCATGTCAAGTATAAATTTAAACCTAAATCCATACCCATTCAACTAATTCTTTCGATTCTAACAAATCTATTTTTACCAGCAAAATCTTTATATACATCCTTAAGTCTTAAATTAAATTTATGCTTATCGTTTTCCTCTTGCAACCATTTTGCTAATAATTCTGGATGTGTTGTATCGACTTCTAAGAAGACACTTCCATTTATAATTAATTTCTGTGAGCATAGTTTTAATATTGGTTTTATAACAGTCAGTCCATCGGGGCCACCATCTAGTGCTCTTAAATCTTCATATCTAAAAAAAGCAAAGAGATATTTATATATATATGAATATATATATAAGTAGTAAATTTATTTGTATACAATTTGATTTCCGGTTGCAATTTAACTAAATCCCCTGTAGGTACATAAGGAGGGTTGCTCACGACACAATCATAAGGCCCTTCCAGCACCTGAGTCAACAAATTATCATCAGACAGTTTCGCTTGCAATAAACGCAAACGCTCTGATAATCCCAAAGCCAAAGCATTATCTAACGTTGTTCGACAAGCGTGGAGACTCTGATCCACTGCTGTAGCCTTAAGCTAAAAAATATCATAAACAATGTGATTATATATTTAAAATGTACATACTATTTTTTTACCTTTGGTAGTTGTTTCAACAATGCTAAGATAATAGCCCCAGAACCACAGCCAATTTCAAGTATTTTCAAAGACATTGAGGATTTGTTTATGAAATGTTGTAAAACTAGATCGACTAATTGTTCAGTCTCTGGTCGTGGTATAAATACAGGTGGTACCACTTTTAATGTTAAGTCTTTGAAGTCCCATTCTCCTATAATGTATTGCACGGGCATGTGTGCCATTCGGCATTGGCATAACTTATCGATTAACTTTAGTTGGGCTGTTGAGACGTGCCGGTGGCAGCTTTTATTCACATCTGAAATCTAAGAAATAAATATAAATATATAATGTTGATATATGTTATATGTGTCATTTCCCTCTTACTGTTTTGTGTGCCAGCACATGTGCCAATATATATTCAATAGATTGCTTAGGTTCCGAAATATCCGACACTTCAAATTCATTCTTCCATTTATTAATTACATCTTGTATAACAAAACATTTGTTTTCTTCACTCCTATTTGAAAATTGCACTGTACAATAATTATTAGTATGTCTATTATTATTTACTATAGGTATAACACAATTTCTAAAATTTGAAAAACTCCTACAAATTGTTAAAGTCATTTTAAATTAAATAAATATATAGAAATAAATTTATGCTGAAGACATTTGCCAGGTAAAGAAAACAAAGATGACGTTTGGGTGACAAATGTCAACCTAAAAATTATCAATGTAAAAATAATATTGAATATTTTTAAAACGTGGTGAAATAAATTATACTAAAATAATTACATATGTACAAAAAATTAGCTTATAATTTTAACATTTTTGCAATTTGATTTAAATTATTTCATTTTAATTTGACATTTATATCGCGCAAACTTCAAGTGTGTTCACCTGTCACATTTCACATTCAACGGTTTTTTAAATTCAAAATCAAGTAGTTAAATAAAAAGTTACTGAAACATGGTAAAATAAATAAATTAATTAATTAAACTAGGATTCTTACACATGTACAGAAAATTAGCTTAAAACATTAACATTTTTGCAATTTAATATAAATCATTTAATTTTAATATTGATATTTATATTGCACAAACTTCAAGTGTCAAATTTCACATTCAACAGCTTTATAAATTTAAAATCAAGCAGTTAAAAAGTTTCTTAAATAATGTGAAATAAATTAAACTAAGATTATTACACGTGTACAGAAAATTAACTTATAACATTTACATTTTGCAATTTAATAAAAATTATTTAATTTTAATTTGACATTTATATTGCGCAAACTTCAAGTGTTTTCACCTGTTAAATTTCACATTTAACGGTTTTGTCAATTTAAATTCAAGTAGTTAAATAAAAAGTGTCTTATATAAATTAAACTATGATTATTACAAATGTAAAGAAAATTAGCTTATAACATTAACATTTTTGCAATTTAATATAAATTATTTAATTTTAATATTGATATTTATATTGCTCAAACTTCAAGTGTCAAATTTCACACTCAATGCTGTTTTAAATTTAAAATCAAGCAATTAAATAAAAAGTTACTTAAACATAGTTAAATAAATTAAACTAAGATTATTACGTATATACAGAAAATTAGCTTATAACATTAACATTTTTGAAATTTAATTAAAATTAATTAATTTTAATTTGACATTTATATTGCTTGATTATTTAAGTGTCAAATTTCACATTCAACGGTTTTTTCAATTTAAAATCAAGCAGTGAAATAAAAAGTTATTTAAGTATGGTTAAATTAGCATATGACATTAACATTTTCGCAATTTAATATAAATTATTTAATTTTAATATTGATATTTATATTGCTCAAACTTCAAGTGTCAAATTTCACACTCAATGCTGTTTTAAATTTAAAATCAAGCAATTAAATAAAAAGTTACTTAAACATAGTTAAATAAATTAAACTAAGATTATTACGTATATACAGAAAATTAGCTTATAACATTAACATTTTGAAATTTAATTAAAATTAATTAATTTTAATTTGACATTTATATTGCTTGATTATTTAAGTGTCAAATTTCACATTCAACGGTTTTTTCAATTTAAAATCAAGCAGTGAAATAAAAAGTTATTTAAGTATGGTTAAATTAGCATATGACATTAACATTTTCGCAATTTAATTAAAATTATTTCATTTTAATTTGACATTTATATTGCACAAACTTCAAGTAACAAATTTCACATTCAGAGATTTTTTCAATTTAAAATCAAGTTGTTAAATAAAAAGTTTCTTAAACATGGTGTAATAAATTAAACAAGATTATTACATTTGTATAGAAAATTAGCTTATAACATTAACATTTTTGAAATTTAATATAAATTATTTAATTTTAATATTGATATTTAAATTGCACAAACTTCAAGTGTCAAATTTCACATTCAACGGTTTTTTAAATTTAAAATTAAGCAAATGAATAAAAAGCTACGATTTTCTAAAAATAGTAAATTTTCCGAATTTGAAACTGATTATTTTACATATAAATGATTATTTAATACATAAGAATACTAAAACATATATAAATAGCAATACACATATTATAAATTAATATTTTTAAACGAAGAAACAATATTGAGTGAAATATGTGTAATATGAATAACAAAATAAATTATATGTATATGAATAATTTAAAACATTTTGATGATTGTTGATAATTTATAATATCTTTTAACAATCTGGATTATTTTTGACAATTGACATTATTTTATATATCTTAACAATAATATCTTTTAACAATCTAGATTTTTTTTGACAATTGACATTATTTTTATATAAATAACAATATTTTCGAACAATTGGCAATAGCTCCAGATCTGCAACATTTTTAAATATGCGATATTTTTTTTACAACTTACAATATTTAAATGTACTACATTTTTGGACAATGTGCAACATTTACAGATGCATTATAATAATATAAGTAAAAAAAATATATTTATATAATATATAACATATGATTTTTTTTTTACTAACATTAAATATTTATTAATCTTTGGCACTTATAAATGTAATTTTTATTTTTTTACAATATGACTTGAATTTTTGTACATTACTAATTTACTTACATTTTTGTAAGTATTTATTTCTGATAAATTGTATGAATAAACAATATTTGAATTTTAGAAATGGAACAGACTTAAAAGTGAAACTGATCGATGTTGATCAGAAAACACAAGCTGAATTATCCGAAATGTTACCAAACAAACTTTAGTGACATCAAAATAAATTAAGTAAAAAAAAATATATTTATGATATTTAATAAACGTTTTGTAAGAACAAGAACATGTGGTGTATTGACCCGGCGCCATAGCTCCGGGTCTTTAATTATAAAGTAAATAAAACTTGCTTATTGAGCATCAAATGCAAACAGTTTGAAAAACAAGAACTTGAACTCTCATTAAAATATATTACTGTGATATTATGAAACTAAACATTTATTTTTTACCCAAATATATCTTCATTCAACTATCAGTTACCAAGTAACTACATGGTATAAAATTGCTCCGACAAACAGATGTAAATTATGGGAACTCTTGATAGCACCATTTTCTGCAAAATAGAAACCAGACATCAAACAATTTGTATATCAATTAATAAATAATTATTAATAATAATAATTATTAATTAATAATTATCAATTATTATAATTGAAATATTTATGATATTTACTGAAACATTTCAAATCCTTCTGATAATGATCTGGTTTGCATCTGCACATTCCAGAGTGACAATCCATCGTTTCTGGTGCTCGAGTTATTGGTGGAACGTTGCAATGGTCATCGTTTAGACATTCTTTTCCAACATCTGAAAAAATAATTTAAAAAAAATTAATAAAAAAAATGTATGAACTAGTAATTGATAGATTGAATTACATTTATTAATACTGGAAGAGTTCATGTGAATAAAACAGGATTCAGCAAAACGTCCGAGTGCGACGTGTTAGGATGAGAGAGAAAGAAAAAGAAAATAGATATATATAGAAAGAGATATAGATGAAGATTTTTTGAAATTTTGACATTTTTTGAAATTTTTAAAATTGAGTTTTTTTTAAATAATGAAAAATTTCGAAAATTTGTAATTTGAAACTTGTATTTTTTTCGAAAATGTTGAATTTTTTTTGAAAATTTTCAAAATTACAAAATTTTCTGTAAAAACATTTCTTGCACACCGTCTACACAAGCAAAAGGTTTTTTGAATTAATCTAATCAGATGATCCGTTCTCTTAAAAACTGCATAACCGCGCTCCATACCTCCGAAACGGTAAGACGTGCCTTTTGCAAAAAGGTTTCGCGATCGAGTACGAACCGCATGATTTTTCAATCATACAAATCGGTTGTTGCATTGAAAAAATTGGTGGAGTAAGATATTAAAGAATAAGATAATTAAGAGCAAATATCATTAAGAGTAAGTTATTTAAGAGTAACAAAACTAAGTTAGATGAATAAGTGTAAATTATTTGAGAGTAAGAGCGAGCATTAAGAGTAAGAAGTTTCAGAGCAAATTATGTAAGAGTTAAATGTTCAAGAGTGAGATAATTAAGAGAAAAAATCATTCGGAGTAAGATATTTATGAGTAACAAAACTAAGTTAGATAAATAAGTGTAAATTATTTAAGAGTAAGAGTGAGCATTATGAGTAAAAATTTATGAGGAAATTATGTAAGAGTCAAATTTTCAAGAGTGAGATAATTAAGAGCAAAAATCAAGATATTTATATTTAAGTAAGATATTTATGAGTAACGAAACTAAGTTAGATAAATAAGTGTAAATTAATTAAGAGTTAGAGCGAGCATTAAGAGTAAGAAATTTAAGAGAAAATTATGGAAGAGATGAATTTTCAAAAGTGAGATAATTTAGAGTAAAGGCATTTAGACTAAGAATATTCAAAAGTAAGAGCCTTAGGAACAGCATTCAAGGTTAGATAATGAAAAGCGATATATTTAAGAATTAAGAGTATTGCATTTATGAGTGAGATCATTAAGACATTAATGGTATGATATTTAGGAAAAAGAGCATTAGGAGTGAAATAACTAAGAGTGGAAAGTTTCAGAAGTAAGATATTTAAAAGTGAGAGCTATAAGAGTAAGATCATTGAGCAAAAAAATTAAATGTAAGATAATCAAAAATAAAATATTTAGGAATAAAAACAATTAAGAGTGAGATAATTGATGGAATATTATTTAAGAGCCGAAGTGTTCGGAGTAATAAAAATTAAGAATATTTTCGATCTCCTTCACTCAATATATTTCTCTTTCGCTCAAGAATATATTTATCTCTTTCGCTCAATAGTATATTTATCTCTCTCGCTCAAGAGTGTATTTATCTCTCTCGCTCAAGAGTGTATTTATCTCTCTCGCTCAAGAGTATAATATTTATCTTTCACCCAAAAACATTTCTCTTTTACTCAATACATTTTTGTCTTTCAATACATTCTCTTTCCGTCAATTTTTTTTACCATATACATGTCTCTTTCTCTACATATACCAGTGTCTTTCTCACTATATACTTGTCTTTTTCTCTAAATGTCTCCGCATATTTATTTTTCTCTTTTACAATGAATTTTTAATTATTTTTCAACAAAAAATATTTGCGTGATATTTACATTGTGTTTTTTTATATTAATGATCTTCTTTATTGATTCATAGAGTAAGTTATTATAATAGCCCAAAAATCGGAAATAAAATTTTTCACATATCTTTACACGTTTCAGACATACGTTTCTGAACATTTCGACATACCTTAGAGAAAATGGATGTATGTGAGAGCGGATACATATTTTCGTCGACGATTTTACACGGATTAGTACACGGATCCACCGATTTAAATAATTCACAAAAACATTTGGCGGTCATAACTGAACATTAGACATATGTACAGATGTTTTATAAAACCTATAATAATAAGTAGAAATTTTGTGTACATTCATATGGGTTCCGTACCAATGTTTACACGTTAGACGACCACGTGGCGCTTACGCGCTTTGATATTTCGACTCCAAATAAACTTGCAGCCCGATTGCTTAAAAAAATGTTCAAAATTTTCAAAATTTAAAAAAAAATCGGAATATAAAAAAAAACAAATTTTTCAAAAAAGTAAATTTTGTTCAAAAATCCAATTTTTTCAAAGTTTTGCAAAACTTTTTAATAATTTAGTTTTCGGTACGAGAAGTTCCAGCAATTTGCCTTAAGGCACGATGCCATACACCACCAAATAATTATAACTTTAATTTTACTCACATGGAATGACATCGCAATAGGTCTTATTCTCGTTGACGACAAAGTCCTCTTTGCAGTCGCACAATTTGTCCTCGCACTGAGAGCCCTTTCCCATATTGAATTCGCACTGCGAGTGCTCCGTGCAAATGTCGCCGAGTTTATCAGCAATCGGCAAACATACCTAAATAATAAATAATAACTCGTTGGTATTGATATTTTGCCATGAGGCAAGTTATATGAACTTCCCGAAATGTGTAAATAATCGACTTGATCAATAAAATATAAATTAATTTATGAGTGATTAAAATTATTCCGAGTGGATTCATTACACATAATTGAAAACGAACGAACACTATCGTTATACCAAATAAATCGTCTAATTTTAACTTTCACAAACGTCAAAAAAACTACTCATTTTCTCAAACTTTAATAAATTTTTAAAATTAAACTGCTTGTCCTAAGGCCGTAAATTTTCAGTAAGTTCTATAAGACCATGATATATATCTCAAAAAAAAAAGTTCCATAAAATTCGGCTTAAATTTTTTTTCAACAGTTAATTACAAGAAAACGGTTCGGCAGATTTTCACCTAAAACCTATCAGTATCATCCCCAACTAATATCTTTCAAACAGTTTTTGATTTTTTTGATTTTTTAAAATCGATTCGGCAGTATTAGCTTAAATGTAGACGAAAAGTTTAACACTTTTTTCCAAATTACAAAGAAACGGCTCGGCTGATCGTCGCACAAAACTGACAAACGATAGTCCTAATCGACATACATCAAATGGCTTTTAAATTTCTGAAAACGGTTCAGGCGTTTTTGACAAATGCCAAAAAAACGATACTAATTTTTACAAACATTGAAGAATTTTTAAAATTACACGACTTGTCGTAGGGCCGTAATATTTTAGTATGATCTATAAGACTATGTTATCTACAGCAAAAAAAAAATCATGATCAAATTTTGATTTAACACTTTATTACAAGAAAACGGCCCGGCCGATCTTCACCAAAAACTAATCAGCACGATTCCCAACCAATATCTTTCGAACGGTTTTTGAATTTTTAAAATCGATTCAGAATTGCGGGATAAAACGTGGACGAAAAAATTTTCGCTTTTCTGCTATTCATAAAGAAACGCCTTGGCCGATCGTTGCACAAAATCGACAAACAATAGTACTCATCGAAGTGCATCGAATGGCTTTCAAATTTTTGAATTCAGGCAAGCGGTTTTTGAGAAAACCGCCGCGATTTACGTCAAAAAATCTGTTCACATACACATACACACACGCGCGCACACACACACATACTATTTCCAAATTTGGTCTCACTCGATTCAGAATGGCTTGAAACGTCGAGAAAACAAAATTAGCAAATCGGGATTTTTTGATGAAAACATAAACTTCTCCTTCGGGAAGTTTATTTTAGGAACCGATTCTGCCGCATAACAGAAGTATGTTATGACAAGGCCATGTTATGAAGAACTTTCCATACAAAATATTGACAAAAGCCATGCAGTTGCTGTGCAGTCAGGCGTATTTTTCAAGTTGTCAGATAGAAAGCATTACCTAGAAACCGCACAAATGTCAACAGATAACAGGGGCTCTCTGACTCAGGTTTATACGAGTGACGTTGCAGTTTATGTGTAAAACGCCTGAATGCACAGCAAATACATGACATTTTGACGGTATTCGGTATGATTCAGTAGCATAATGTATGGAAGTTGGAGCGTAACATGGCCTTGCCATAACATTGGTCTGTTGTGAGGAAGAATCGGTCCCTAAATATATATTCAATTTTTATTATTTTTAACTCCCCGTAGGGCAAGTTATAGTAATCGCAAAAAAATCGAAGATGAAAATTTTTATATATCTTTACGTTTCAAAGGTTTCTGAACATTTTGGCATACCTTAGAAAAAATGGATGTATGTGTGTGTGTGTGTGTATGTGTGTATGTGTGTATGTATGTATGTACGTGTGTGTATGTATGTGCGGATACAAATTTTCGTCGACGATTTCGGGAACACGAATCAATCGATTTGAATAATTCAAAAAACATTCGATTCGTATTGATAAGGAGACATGCTGATTAGTTTTTGGCGAAGGCAGGTCGAGCCGTCCCGAAGATACGGGGCAAAAAGTGCCAAAAATATTAACTCAGTTTTTAAGAGAACGGAGCGTCTGATTTTAATAATTCAAAAAACATTTTACTTATATTGACAAGGTGAAGAACCGATCAAATTTTCATAAAGGCAGGTCTAGCGGTTTCGGAGATCTAATAAAAAAGTAAAAAAAAATGCCATTTGGCGGTCAAAAACGATCATTAGACATATGCACATCAAATTATCAGATATTCTATAGAGATTTTAACAATAAGTATAAATTTGGTTTACAGTCCTATGGGTTCCGTACCAATGTTTACGCGTTAGACGGCGACGCGGCGCTTACGCGCTTTGATATTTCGTCTTTATGCAGTTAAAGCAGTACGATTGCTTTGAAAAAAAGTTTAGATCTTCCAAAATATGTCAAAATAAAGAAAACATTTTTTTCTCAAAAAAAAAAAGAAATTAAAAAAAAAAAATTTTTTTTTTCTTTTTGGTCCGATTTATAGTTTCTCAAAAATCTTATTTTTTTAAGTAAATTTTTTTCAAAAATGTTAATCGTTTAAAAAAAAAAAAAATTGGTACGGGAAGTTGCAGCAATTTGCCTTAAGGCACGATGCCTTAATTGCCTTAAGACAGAATTCCACTTACAGCTAGTTACTATCTATTTCTACCCACCGATCCGTCTAATTTGGCCAAATATCCATCGTGACATCTGCACAAGCGGTCTACACATTGGGAGTACAAGATATGCTTACAGTTGCCTTCGTTGAAACAACCCAAATTTATCTTCGATTTCGCGATACAGGATCCGTTGTAAAAATTAAATTTATCTCCACAAACGCAGCTTCCATTTTTGCAAACAGTGTCGTCCATCACGCCAAGACATTGTTTGATGTCTTCGCAAGTTTCTTCGGTCGAATTCAGAGGTTTTAGGCACTTTTTTCGGTCGGCAGATTCGACGCCGAACTCCGGAGGACAGAGGCACTTTTTGGTTGCAGGGTCGCAGATGGAATTCAAGGGTTTGCAGTTTTGGGTTGTTTCGCATGTGAATCCCAACACTGTTACTTTGTGACCCTGAAGATAAAAGAAATAGTAAATAATAATAAAAATAATCAGATAATAATAATTGAGTAAATAATCTTCTTATATATAAGAATGAATCGCAAAATGTGTTGGTAAGCGCATAACTCAACAACGCCTGTACCAATTTCGCCAATTCTTTTTTAAAAATAATTTTTGGAGTCCAAAGATGGTTCTTGCGGCGAGAAAAAATCGAATAATTACCGCGAAAACCCTAAAAACAGCCGTTTTCTTTTTCACATACAAACGTTTTCTAACTAAAACGTAGAATCTAATTGAGCTTTATTGCTATTATATAAAGTTCATATTAAATTACAAGCACTAACTGTATACTCATAAACAAATATTTGGATTTTGATAAATCTTTCTGAAGCTTGTTAAAGAAATTTTCTAGGATATATATGATTATAATGTACTGTGATGTGTGTGCAATATTGTAGAAATAAATAAAAAAAAATTGTAAAAAAACGACATGTCATGTGTGCATTGAAAACAAATGAAAACTATCATCTGCCAAAAATTTCAATTTACTTATGAAACTAGACGATATTAGAATATGTATAATAAATTCATGATTATGAATAAGAAAAATGAAATGTCTACATTATTATTGCCAAAAAGCAGCTGAGTATAAAAAAGAAGCTGAATATGAAATACAGCATGTGTATGGCCGATTGAACGATACACACATGAACAGGATATGACAAATTAATTTACTTAAAATATGACAATATGAAATTAGGGGCGGTCCTAACTTTAATGCGATGCATGCGAAAAATACGAACGCACGCCTTAGGGGGCGCCAACACAAAATTCGGATATTGAATTTTCAATATAGTTTTTTTTCAATATATAATTTCTTTGCATCTTTTACTAATCTTAACACAATATTTTTAAAATAAAAATATTTTTAAAATTTCACTTTATAACAACATATGCGAAAATGAAGATGATTACATACAATTCGGCCCTTATGATATCGATTAGGAGAAGTTTAAGATGCAATTTTGGACATCTTAAATAATAAAAAATTAAATTAATTCAATCCAACATGAAGTACCAGTGTAATGTTATGGTTATGGTTATATTATACCGTTTAAAAGACTGCAATTTTCAATATAGTGTGGAAATTGAGACTCATCATTTTATTTAAAGCAGTTCTGCATTTAACATCGCTCATATTATGAATGCATATGCATTTTGGCGTGAAGAATATTTTACAAAACAATAATTATTATTTTTAGGTACACGGTAAATATTAGTATATAATATTAAAAAATTTTTCGTGGGTTCAGGACAACGTCTGTCGGGTAGTAAATAATCTTGAATGATAAAGTAAAAATAATTCATGATGCTTCATAACATTGGAACTTGTATAACAAATATTAGAGCTGATGTGAGTACTGATGCTCCAGCAAAAATCATGACATTTTTAGGTTTTCCATTGTTTACTCGAATTTTTTTCATTATAAATTTATTTATTTATTTATAGTATTTTACCATTTTAGAATCCTAATTAAATGCGACAAATTTTGATGGAACTCGCCAACACATTTCAGTATATTTTTTTTAAAGGAGGGCCTCTCAAAGTGGACTGATGCCAAAAATTTTAAATACAAAAAGTCTTAATTCTTTAGAACTTATGACAATTGTGTCAATGTTTTTGACTGTGTTTCTAAAAATGTTCACGGTTATGGTTCCAAAGTTTAAATAAACAAAATTAATTATAAAAGTTGACCACATAACCAAAAAATGGTCATAACTTCACTAACTTTAAGTTGCACTTAAAAGCTCATAATTTCTATACGAGGGATGTATATTAACTTTCCGTAGCGCAAGTTATAGTAATCGCAAAAAATCGAAAATGAAATTTTTTATATATCTTTAATACATTTCAGAGGTTTCTAAACATGCTTAGAAAAAAATGGATGTATGGTGTGTGCAGATACAAATTTTAGTCGACGATTTTGGGAAAACGGTTCGACCGATTTGAGTTATTTAAAAACCTATCGATTCGTATTGATAAGGAGACGTGCTGATTAGTTTTTGGCATGGGCAGGTCTAACCGTTTCGTAAATACGGGGCAAAAAAAAACAAAAATGGTAATTCAGTTTTTGAAAGAACGAAGCGTACGATTTGAATAATTAGGAATAACATTTTATTTATATTGACTAAACAAAAAACTGTTCAAATTTATGGAAAGGCAGGTTCAGCGGTTATGGACTCAATAAAAATAAGTTAAAAAATGCCATTTGGCGGTCAAAAATGTTCATTGGACACATGCACATCAAATTATCAGATATTTTATAGAGATTTTAATAATGTTGTATGTACATACAACATGTGTATACATTTTGTCATTTTTTTGGGTCCCGTACCAAGATTTTTAATTTTGAAGTTTATTTATATGGTTCAAACAAATGTCTCCGACATTTTCGACAATATGGAATAACCGTTTTGTAATATTGAAAAAATTATTCGGTTCGTACTCGATCGCGAGGCGTTTTTGCAAAAGGCACGTCTAGCCGTTCCGGAGACATGAAGCGCAAAGGGTGTTGAAATGGTTATGCAGTTTTTGAGAGAACGGATCATCCGATTAGATTAATTCAAAAAACATTTTGCTTGTATAGACTATGTGCAAAAAATAGTTTCACAAAAAATTTCGTAGTTTAAAATATTTTCAAAAAAATTTAATGTTTCAAAAACTTAAATTTTCGAAATTTATCATTATTTTCAAAAAAAATCTAAATTTCGTAAAATATTAAAATAATAAAAAAAAACGATTTCAAACAAAATTTTGAAAACATTTCGAAGTTTTCGGAAATATCGAATATTTCCAAAAAAATTCAAATTCTCAGAAAATTAAAAAAATCGATTTTTTTCAAAAATTCCAAAATATTTCGAACTTTTAAAAAATTGAAATAAAAAAAATAAAGATTATTAAAAAAATCAAGTTTATCACAAAAATCAAATTTAAAAAATTTTAAACAAGTTTCTTGTACACATACACATAAGTTATTTGTAGAATACGTTTGTTGTCCAATATAATATTCACTCATAAATCTACAGAATGTTTTTATAATAATCTATTTGAAATTATTCATAACAATTATTGATTATTTTCATTCCTCGAATTTTTAATTATGGTTTGGTAAGTTCCAGCAATTTGCCTTAAGGCACGATGCTAAGCACCCCGACAGTTTTTTTCTAATTTTTATATACGAGGTCTGTTCAAAAAGTACCCGGAATTACTAATAATTAAATTTCGCGGGTCTGGAGTGTCTGATTGTCAATATTTTTTCCTTTATTGTGTTGGTATACATGCCCCTAAAGTATGATGAAATTTTCAGCTATATTCACTGTTTACTTTGTCTGTGGTAGTCGCTAAGGTTCGACGTGTTTTTCTGAGCTCGGCGATTTTTACAATGGAAGAATTGAAAAGTCAAAGAATTTGTATTAAATTTTGCGTAAAAAATGAAATAAAGTGTTGCAAAGTGCAAAAATTCACCAGATATGGCTCCGTGTGACTTTTTCCTATTCCCAAAGTTGAAGAGACCCATGAAAGGACGGTGGTTTTCCTCGATTGAAGAAATAAAGGCCGAATCGCTGAGAGTGCTCAAGGACATATCAAAAAGTGAATATCAAGGGTGCTTCGAAAATTGGAAAAAACGCTGGCATAAGTGTATTATATCTGGGGGGGACTACTTTGAAGGGGACCACATTAATGTAGACGAATAAATAAATATTTTTTTGAAAAAACGAAAATTCCGGGTACTTTTTGAACAGACCTCGTATATATTAATATATATATATATATATATATATATATATATATATATATATGTTTATATATAAATATTACCTGATTTTTGTATATACAAGTAGTAACATTCTTCATATCCTCCGTATAGCAAACGCATTTTCCATCTTCACATCGCGATTTGTCCCCATAGATGTAGAAACACTGGTCGTTTGATGTGCACAACAATTCAGGACTACTGGATACTAAAAAAAATAAAATAAAATAAAATAAAATAAAACAAATTAAAAAAAATAATATTCATTAATTATTGAATTCATAATTCGTCCACACTGAAAAAATAAAAAAATAAATAAAAAAACAAACTTTTACGGGAAGTTAAATATACAAATTCTACAAGCATAATTAAAATATTAATTAATAATTAAATAGATAAAAAGTAAATAAGTATAATAATTTAACACATAATTTTTATTATTATCTATACATTAAAAAATAAATTTGGGTGCATGACAATTTATTAAGAATTTCTATAATTATCTGAATACCAATTAGTGCAATTACTAATTATAAAGTTCTGTATGCCATATTATTGGAAATAAAAAAAAGTAGGAAACTATACCATAAACGTAAAAATTAAAACCTTCGGACATATCGATAATATTATAATTGTTACAATAAGTACTCTTACAAAGCATATAATTATTTTAATATTATAGAATAAAATGGAAAACACGAAATGGCATCGACTTCTTACAAAAAAGTTACGTATTTACAATTATTTATTTATATATTTTACAAGCCATGGGTGTAATAATATTATAATAAGGCTCAAGTCAATATTTTGCAGATTTAATATAACTTAATTAGTTGCAATAGTTTTCAATATAAAACCCATAAATATATTTATTTGCAAATAACTCATTGCAATGGAGTTACAAAAATTTCTTTAAAAAATGCAAAGTTAGCAAGTTGCAACAGAAATTTTAAAAGATATTTTGTATTAAAATTTACATATGCACATGGAATCAATATTAATACATAATTATATATATATAGATATTTTTAATAGATAGATGGATAGATTAGATAAATATCTTCATTTAAATTACAAGTCTTTAAATTGAACACAATTTACGTAAAACAGCAGTGGCTTTTTCCATCCTATTAATTAATACTTAATAATAACTTACTTGATTATTTAAAAATTAACATATAGCCTAAAAATATAATCCAATAAATAATCGAATAAATAGAATATTCCAGTTATGTAATTAATTGATATATATCTGCAGTAAAATCTCTTTAAAACGATTTCATTTAATACAATTTCTTGCATAAACGCCACTTTACGACGGTCCTTGCACTTTGAAACATGTTATTACTACCATTTAATACGCTTTTTCGCATAAGACGCCATCATCTAGTAAATCGTCTTAACAGAGTTTCAAGATATTAATTTAATATATATATTTCTATTCTATCTACTTACACATTTGTCCTCGAACAGCAACCACCAAACCGAATAACAAAATTAACAAAATACAATTTGTTTTAAACATTTCTAAAATCAACTTTCAAATAATATTAATATTTAAATATTAAATTTAATATATTTAAAACTTTCCAACGTTTGTCCAAAGGCGATTCTAAGCAGAATGAGCCCTCGATTTGCAAAAGGAATTTATTTCGACTAGTTTTGGATAGTTATGTAACCATTTAGGTACAGGACCAGATTTGGAATTTAATAGATAAATTGGATTTTATGTTTATAATATGGTTTTTGATATTAGATTTAGGTATTTTTTGAGTACACACCTGTATGATAGATGAATCTGCAATTTTGGTTTCCAGGTTTTATACAGAACTAGTGGTGTATGATCTAAATAAATTTCGGAAACTTCTTTCCAACATTTTGACTTAAATATCCAAAGTTCGATAATTTGGTTGTCTTATTAATCTACTAATGTTTAGAATCTTTATCTTTAGTGTCAATATATAAAACTAGTGGTGTATGGCATCATGCCTTAAAGCAAATTGCTGGAACTTCCCGTACCGAAAACAAAATTTCAAAAAAGAAACTTTGAAACAATGAGATTTTTTAAAATTCTGAAATCGAAAAACATTACTTTTGAAAAATTTATTGGATAATTTTTTTTTTATATTCTGAATATTTTGAACTTTGTTCAAAGCAATCGTAGCTGTTTTAAAGAAGAAATATCGAAGCGCGTAAGCGCCGTGTCGGATAAAAATTACTGTGGAACCCGTAGAAATGTAAACAAAATTTATACTTATTATAAAAATCTCTTTAAAATATCTGATAATTTGATGTGCATATATCTAATGATCATTTTTGACCGCCAAATGGCATTTTTTTCTACTTTTTTTAAATCGATTTCCGAAATAGCTAAACCTGCCTTCCCAAAAATTTCACGTGTTCTTCATTTCGTCAAAAATAAAATATTTTTTGAATCAGTCAAATCGGTTGATCCGTGGTTTCAAAATCGTCGACAAAAAATTGTATCCGCATATACATACGCACACACACACTCACACTTACGTCAATTTTTCTAAGGTATGCCGAAATATTCAGAAACCTTTGAAACGTGAAGATATATAAAAATTTTCATTTTCAGATAAATTGATGAAATATAAATTAATAAATATTAAAGTAAAATGATTTATCAATTTATATATTTTATTTGGTATTTTATTTTGTTATAAATTAATTTTATACTTTTTCATTGTGACTTTAAAATTAAGGAAACTAGTGGTGTATGTAAAAAGTCTTCAAAATAGTCTTAAATCTAAATTGAACATTGAAAATTCAATCCTTGAATAATGTTTTTATTCAAAATGCACCACTTATCTAAATCTGGTAATTTATTATACAATTAAATTAATACGAATAATGATAAAATTTTAATGAATTTTCATAACTAAACCACTTTTCATAGGCCTATAATATTTCAGTATGGTCATCAATACTTTATATTGATGACCATACTAAAATATTATAGGCCTATGAAAAGTGGTTTAGTTATGAAAATTCATTAAAATTTTGAAATTGAAAAAAAATTAATGATAAATTACGAAGAAACGGCCAGGCCAATCTTTGCCAAAAAGCAATTTTTTGAAATTTTCAAAATCGGTTCAGCAATTTTCTTCGAGGAGTTAAAAAGGTATTAGAAATAATGTATAAGTTTTTTATTTAATTTTACACAGAATATATCTTTCGCCTGGGTATAATCACGTTTGCATAAAAATCAAAAATGACGTCGATTTAGGAAAACCGAGAATTTAATCTCGTTTTCATTTGAAATCAACAGCAAATAAATCACTTTGTAATCAATATTGTTATTAAACATGACCTCTCATAATTAGATACATGTTATTTCTATTTAATGAAATGAAATTTTCAAAAATATATTTGTATTGAATCATTATGCAATTTTGTAAATTTTAATTATTGCAAAAATCAAATTAATTATTTAGCAAAAAAAGATTTTTTGGAAATAAAAAAAAAATTCTTTCACCAAAATCAATCGTTTTGTCAAAACAAGCAGAAAGTTTTTGAATCATTCAAATCGGATGCTTAGTTCTCTCAAAAACTGCCATTTTTTGCACATTTAGCTCTATATCTACAAAACCGGTGGACCGGCCTTTGCCAGAAACTAACCACGACGTCTCCCCGTCAATACAAATTGAATGTTTTTTAGATCATTCAAATCGGACGCTTAGTTAATGCAAAAACTGCAATTTTTTGCACTCTTTGCTCTTTATCTCCCTAACTGCTGGACTTGCCTTTGCCAAAAACTAATCAACACATCTCCCTATCAATAGGAATCGAATGTTTTTTGAACCATTCAAATCGGTTGATCCGTGCGCCCGAAAACGTGGACAAAAACTTGTATTCGTACACACACACATCCATTTTTCCTAAAGTATACCAAAATGTTCAGAAACCTCTGAAACATGAAGATGTGCAAAAATTTTCATCATCGAATTTTGAACGATTACAACAACTTACCCTTCGGGAAGGTAATATAAAATTCTAACAGTATGGCGGGAATAGCTCAGTTAGCAGCATGCTCGAATCACAAGCTAGGAATACTCGGTTCGAGTCCTGGCACTGACATAATATTGTCACCTGATTGATTTTCTTTAATTTTATTTTATTATAAAAATTTAGATGTAAGTAAAATTGCATTAATATTGCATCGATCAAATTTTCAAAATAAAGTTATCCTAAAACTTATTTTCCAGACTTTAAAGCATTTCTATAGAATCATTTTTCGTATGCCTATAATACTTTACGATGTTTATCAAAACCATAAACTTTATTTTGGCAAAGGCAGGTCCAGCCGTTTCAGAGATACCAAGCTAAATGTGCAAAAAATGGCGATGGAGTGAACTAAGCGATTTGAATGATCTAAAAAACTTTCTGCTTGTATTGACAAAACTATTGTTTTTGAGGATAAAAAATTATTACATCTTTTTTTATTTTTCATGAAGTATTTTTGTAATTTTGAATTAACCAAGCTAAGCACAGTCTAAGCGTCACTCTGGTTCAAATGTTTTTCCAAGTGCGATTAGACTGTTTATGGAGCACTTTTCCAATTTTGTGAAAACTATTGAAAAATGTGAAAATGCCGCCAAGCTAAGCACAGTGTAAGTGAAAATGTCGCACAGAATTATTTGCAAATGCGATTAGACTGTGACTATACGGGAGCACTTTTTCAATTTTGTGTAAATTAGGCAATTTTTTTTTTGAAATTGAATTCGAAATGAAATAACGATTGTTAATGTTCTGGAGATAAATTGATTTATGATTTACATTTGATTTACTACTCACTCAGATATAACACGATAGCAAAAATAATAAGAGTTACAGTATTTGTAATAATATATTTGAAAACGTTTAAAATTTCTCGAATATTTCATTACGGTACGGGAAGTTCTAGCAATTTGCCTTAAGGCACGATGCCATACACCACTATTTTAATTTTATTTAAAATAACTGGTTAATAAAACATTTTCCAAAAACATCTATTATTATTATTCTTTACTCATCAGGTATTACCTAATGTAAAAAAGTAACGGCAAGTCGATTAATTAAACACAATTTATTGTGTATTTTTATTGAGAATAATAAAAAAATGCATGTTATTCTCATTAATTTCTATTCATAACAATTTGTAAGTAATTGAGGTTCCAAAAACGCGTTTATGATAAATACAAAGGAAACCTGTTGGTGTCGTCATCAGAAATACCTTCTGTATAAAAATCACCGATTTTATTAAAGAAATAAACTCACGCATAATTATATATATATATACAAACATACATATATATATTATATATATATATATATATATATATATATATATGATATTCAGTTTTCAGGGCAATACATTCAATTAAAAAATTTGTATGACTTTAAAACATTTTTATTTATTCCATACGTTTTCGACACATTGTTTGTGTCATCTTCAGTGGACTATGTAATTGAATTAATCCTAATTATTTCATATTATAAATGTTCACAATGCACAATCCTAATTATTTCATATTGTAAATGTTCACAATGAACAATCTAATTATTTCATATTATAAATGTTCACAGTGCACTAAAAAACCAATCCTTGTCATTTAAGTTAAACAATATAAAAAATTTTGACTGAGATTTTTTTTATATTGTTTAACTTAAAATGACAAGGATTGGTTTTTTTTAGTGCACTGTGAACATTTATAATATGAAATAATTAGGATTGTTCATTGTGAACATTTACAATATGAAATAATTAGGATTGTGCATTGTGAACATTTATAATATGAAATAATTAGGATTAATTCAATTACATAGTCCACTGAAGATGACACAAAACAATGTGTCGAAACGTATGGAATAAATAAAAATGTTTTAAAGTCATACAAATTTTTTAATTGATGTATTGCCCTGAAAACTGAATATCACATATTTCAACATCAAAATTATATAAAAAATTTAATATATATATATATATATATATATATATATATATATATATTGAAGAGACGTTAGTAATCAATTTACTAATTAATAATTAAATGTGACCAATTTTTAATAATTCTTGAGTAGATTAGAGTTTTATTTTGAATACTTTTGAATACGAGAATTGGAACATTTGTAGCTCTTCGGGAAGTGTGTGAAATCAAAGAATTTATTTAGATACAAAAATTTATTTATCGCTTTATTATAATATTTCAGTTGTTGCTTGTTCAAGAGTTCAGGACTAACTAACTTATATTTTTACATTTTTAAAATATTTCCAATATTTCTAGTTTTATGATAGCTCGCCGAAGGTACATGAGCTATCATAAACTTTTATTAAGGGTTGTCTGGCAGATGTACAAAATATTCGCAACATTTACCGTTACTTGGGAGTATACATCGTTCAAAGGAATTTACTTATGACTATTATTTATAATTATAAAGAACACAATTCTCAACAATATATATATATATATATATATATATATATATATATATATATATATCTGTTTCTATTTTTTTAACGGTCAACTTTTCCCAAACCGCAAAAATGGTCTACAATTCCAAATCGAACAAAGTTGGGACTTTCAGGCAGTTTTTGTTAACTACAGATTTTC